TGGAATGTATTTTTTTTTTTTGAGAAAACAATGCCTGAAAAAAAAAATGGTTTCTGGATTTAGGGCAGTTGTTCTCCAACTCTGGCATATATTACAATAACCTGGGAACTTTCAAGAATGCCATTGTCTGGACCCTACCCCAGATTTACTGACTCCATTAGGGCTCAGGGCACACACACACACTTTTTGAAGCTCCATTTGTGATTCTCAGGTACACTTACAGATGTAATGACAATCATTGGTCTACTCAAGAGAAATCTTGGGGGGTGTGGCTCAAGTAGTAAAGCATCTGCCTAACATATATGGCTCCGCGTCCAAACTCAAGTATCACCAAAAAAAAAAAAAAAAAAGAAAAACTTTAGGGGCTGGGAGTAGGGTTCAATAAACAGAGCGTGAACAAGGCCTGGGAAAATCTTTGGTTTAAGGAGGTTAGATATGTCTGGCATAAATTTTTCTCAATGTTCTCCTAAAGCATGTTTTTGCTAACTGATAACAAAATACTTGGCTAGAGAACTCATTAACATAGAATGACTTATGTGTTTATGAGTTGATTCTTTAAAAAAAAAAACAACCAAAAAAACCCAACCCAACCCTTTGAGTGATTTAGAGATTAGAAAAATATTTACATTCCAAATAACACAGTGTGATCATCCATAAGCTTGTCTATTGCTCTGACTTCTATTTATAAATTTCAAAAAAAAATTTAATATATATATTTAAATATGTACAATATTTACAACTTGCAGATTTTACAACTCTAAATCAAACAGTTAAGCCTATAAATAGGTGAAAAAGTTGGCATTTTGTTATGTAATACGTCAAACATTTCAAAAACAATTTCACCTCAAATATTTTGCACCAATAGCACTCTGACTTCTATTTATAAATTTCAAAAATAAATTTAATATATATATTTAAATATGTACAATATTTACAACTTGCAGATTTTACAACTCTAAATCAAACAGTTAAGCCTATAAATAGGTGAAAAAGTTGGCATTTTGTTATGTAATACGTCAAACATTTCAAAAACAATTTCACCTCAAATATTTTGCACCAATAGCACTTTCCCAAAGTGCCACTGCTCACTGGCTCACTTTATGTCAACAACTCGAGAAGCAAAATTCCTGGCCTAGGAATGGAGTAACCTATGTACGGAGAAACTGCACTTCTTACAGGACGGTGGAGCCAGTTAAACCTGGGTCTTTAAAACTTTACAACAAAGCCCCTTTCACCCTCCAATCCTGAGACAACAAATCCTGTAGTTCTCCCTCATCATCGCTGTCAGCATTCTCCTCTTCCTTCTTTTGCAGTTCTTTTATGGTCAGAACTTCTTTCAACTTGTTTTTTATTTCGTCCTGGCGATTCCGCAGGTTTTCCACCCGACGGTAACACTCTATCTGTTCATCGATCTCCCCTATCTGCCGGTCCAACCTTCCCTCTTCGTCCTCTTCAGCAACTATAGCTTCGGAAATAGTGTTCACCTGCCTCATGGCTTTCTGAAACTCGTCCCACTCTTTGTCCATCTGATCCTTTGGAGCATCAACCTTTCGTACCTTGGCATCTACCTCGGGGTCGTCAAAAAACCCTTCCGGCAATGCTTCGGCGGTGTTTTCCCTTCTTTCCACCACCTTTTCATGTATTTCTGCTTTCTCGATTGACCCCGAATGAGGAATTAAGGGGGCCGTTGGAGGATTTGTATTAAAGGAGTCGTCTGGCAGCACACTTGTTGCCTCCCGCGAAGAGGAAAGTGAGGGTTCTTTGCCCTGTGCGTCGGGCAGCAGCTTGCTGCTGTCTCCCCCTTTTCCTTCTCCTCCCCCCTCTTCGTCGTCGTCGTCCTCCTCCTCCTCCTCATAATCAGGGAGCAAACCGAGTCCCGAAGGTTTACTGGCGGTCGCTTTAGCGGACTCCTTTCCCGTTTTATCAAAGTTGGAGGACAAAGCTGATATGGAGGGCTGTTCCTGAGGCACCGCAGAGGCCTTGGCTCTCTTGGCATCTTGGTTCTCAGCATCCGGCGCTTTCCTCTTGGCTGACTGGGGTGCTGCGCTGGGGGATGGGCCCTGCGTGGCTCCCTTTGCGCCTTTCAGCTCGGCCACTTTCTCTCGGTGCTGCTTTCCCAGGACATGAGTTTGCCACAGAAGCTCGCTCTTGACTGGGGTGTTACAGAGGGCACAACTCAACTGCCCCAAACGGTTGTACTTCGCAAATGGAGATTCTATCTTTTTCCGGTTAGTGCTGAGACGCTGTTTCTCCTTCATTAACCGCCTCAGTTCTTCCTGATTCACCACTCGCTTCCCCGCGGGAGTCCGAGAAGAGGCAGAAGACGCCATCTTCGCGACCAAACCTCAGGCTATTCTGGCTTCCGTTTCGGCGAGGTTTGATCACGTCACTTCCTTTCAGGGCGACGATTGGCTGAAGCTCAGCAGATTGGGGCGTGGGGCCTCAGAACCGCGACAGAGGCTGTTTTTGCTCTCAACCGTTAAGCGATGGCTGCGATCAAAACTGTGAACTCCCAGGCTGAGGTGGCGCGAGCCCAGGCGGCTTTGGCTGTCAACATGTGTGCTGCCCGAGGGCTGCAGGATGTGTTGCGGACTAACTTGGGTCCTAAAGGCACCATGAAAATGTGAGACGGCGGTTAGGGCGCCGGGAGTTTTTTGGGTGTCAGGACGCCTTTTGAGGTTGATGTCCCGCGAAGAGCTGGGAGGGATGTGTATGCACCTGTGGTGCCGGGTTTTCCTCATTCTCATTTCTGCCCCGAGGGAATCTCTAGCCTGTGAGGGAAGAGGAGAAATGCCTCCCTGAGTAAAGGTCCCTATGAGTGGAAGCTGTGACATTACCCGCCCTTTCCCTTAAGATTCTCTTGCAATTAGATAACCAGTTTATTTAATGGCTCATCGGAAGCGTAAAGCATGTAAGTCCTCTACTTTTTTCTTTTCCCCCCTTGCTGGGGATCGATCAGGCACGGCAAAAGCTCCACCACTGACTGAGCTGTACCCAGCCCCGCAACACCTAGTCTTATTTTTGTGTGGCACTGTGTTGTAGTGGAAAGGATACGGGCTTTGGAGTCAGGCAGGCAGGGGTTCAAATACAAGTTTCATACTCTTTCAGCTGTGAGTATTTAGGCAAGTTACTTGAACCCTGTGTGCTTATGGTTCTTCATATTTATTCATCCTTTCAACATATATTTAGCACCATTACTTTCTTTACACAAGAGGGGAGACTGATGAGAGAAAAGGGTTTAAGAGGTGACATCGCGACAGAGATGAGTAATAATGGTAAAAGAGGGCACTAATGCACTGGGTTCTGGGAAAACAGATGAGAAAGAGAGTTTCTGTACTTGAGGAGATCTGGTAGAGCAGATGTGCTAATTATATATAGATGCTTATGATTATACTGAGAAAAGGGACCAATTACTGATGGCAGAAGGAAAAGCCTCTCGAATATCAGATGATGTTTGATCAGAATCTTGAAAGACTCTGATCTCATTCTGAGTCTGCCAATTGAAGAAGCGAGTAAAGGCTTCCTACATAGACTAATTTCAGGAATAAGAAAGCCCAATGTTATAAATCCAGTAGAAACAAAAACAAAACTATGGTGCATTAAATAGCAACCAAAATACTTGCTTGTAAGAAGGTGGAGATAGAGCAGAAAAGTTTGAGAAAGGTCAAGTATGTCAATGGTAAATTCATTTGAATTTTATGTGAAGGTTATGGAGAACATAAAAATTATTGAAGGATTTTGGGTCAGGGATCTGACTGAGTCACATTGCCTTTTAGGAAGATAAATATAGTGTGGAGGGTATTCATATTTGGAGAGAATCAAGATGCTGTCTTAGCAGTCCAGGGTAGACATGATGATGACTGAAAATGGAGGAGGAGCTAAAGTTCAGAGATATTGAGATTGTAGAATTGGCAGAGGTTTGTGATCTAATAAATGTGAGGGATGAGGAGAACTATTTGAGTGACTGAATGGTAACATTTACAAAAAAAGAGTCCTATGTACTCTGACCAATGTTCATGGCTCACCAACAACTCTTTAAACCTATAAATGCTCCATTTAGAAGGAAATCATATAAGGCCTCCATCTGGAGAGGATAATTCTGTGAGCTACAAATGGTGGTGATTACCATGGTATCTTCAAGGTACAGTGGAAGATCTTCAAACCCAGTTCCCTGTGTTAAGGAAAGTGGACAGCAAGGCCTGGGAGTGTCTTGCTTGACTCATGCCATGTGAAGTTAATAACATTATTCTCTGAACAGGCTTGTTTCTGGTGCAGGTGACATCAAACTCACTAAAGACGGCAACGCCCTGCTCCATGAGATGGTGGCTGGTGCTCCTACCTTTGTTGTTGTTGTTGTTGTTTTGGTGATACTGGGGTTTGAGTTTAGGGCTTTGCACTTGCTAGGCTGGCACTCAGCCACTTGAATCGTGCCCCCAGCCCTTATTACTTTAGTTATTTTTTGAATAGGGTCTCATGCTTTTGTCCAGGGCCAGCCTTGGACTGTGATCCTCCTACCTATGCCTTTCATGTAGCTGGAATTACAGGCATGATCTACAAAGCATGGATTATTTGTAGAGATGAGGTCTTGCTCTCTCCTTTCTCCCCCTTTTCCCGGGGCTGTCCTCAAACCACTATACTCCCAATATCCACCTCCCAAGTAGCTGCAATTACAGACGTGAGCCACTGTGCCTTCCCCCCTTTTCTGAGACAGGATCTCACTATTTAGTCCAGGCTGGCATCAGACTCTTGATCCCCTGCCTTAGCCTCCTGAATATTGGGATTACAGGTATGTACCACCATGCCTGGCTGCTGCTGACTTTAATAAGTTAATTAAGAACATGGTAGCCGGGTGCTGGTGGCTCACGCCTATAATCCTAGTTACTCAGAAGGCAGGCATCAGGAGGATTGCAGTTGGAAGCCAGCCTGGGCAAATAGTTTGTGAGACCCTATCTTGAAAAGACCCATCACTAAAAAAGGGCTGGAGGAGTAGCTCAAAGGTGAGTTCAAAGACCAGCTACCACAAAAAAAGAACATGGCACAATTTGTATATCCTTTGCAACTTTATTTTAACTTATTTAAAACAAAATTTTGGGGGTGCTGGGAATGAAGCCAGGGCCTTGCATATGCTAGGCAAGTGCTCAGCCAGCCTTAACAATTTGTATATCTTTAAGCCAAGACTGTGAACTTAATACTGCAGACTTGAGATATGCTTGTTGAAGTAAACCTCAATAGTGTTTTTCTATTTTCAAATATTTGTATAGTCCAAGTAATAGCTTAAGGATACTTACAAATTAATAACATCTTTTCAAGGCATTGCATTACATTCCTTTTAATCATGGAAAAATACTTTGCAATTTTCATAAATGTATTCATTGTTGAGATTGAAGGACTTAATCTTCTTTTGGAAATGCCATTGCATTTTGAAGCAAAGGCTTTTATAAAATGTTCAAACCTCATTAGTTGTCAATGTTTAAATTTTGGACTTGACATTTATTAAGTACTGATATTATAAAATTGTGGAATAAAACTTACTTCATTTCTTAATTTACTATTGACCCTTAGGTTATCTTGTTTTTGGTGGCCTTTGTCTTATTCCTCTCTTTTAAAATCTGTTGCTTACTTTTTTCAGCAAATTCAACACCCAACAGCTTCTTTGATAGCAAAAGTAGCAACAGCCCAGGATGACATCACAGGAGATGGTACTACTTCAAATGTTTTAATTATAGGAGAGTTACTAAAACAAGCTGATCCTTTACATTTCTGAGGTATTAACATTTCATTTATTTTGAGCAGAGTTTTTGAAAAGTAAAATGGTTTAATCTTAGAGGGTTCAAGTTAATTCAATCAAGATGTTCTTGGACAATTGTATGTGGAAATAATAATGAACTTTTTTGACCAAAGTAATGTCTTTTATTGTAAATTATATACCTCTTTTTAAAAAAGCGAAATGTTTAAGGAATATATAAGGAAGGTAAAAAGTTACCTATGTACCCATGAATAACAGCTCAAGAAAGAAAATTCCATTGATAAAAGTTGAAATCAAATTCTGCACCTTTAAAAAAATAACTGGAGGAAAATTATTGAGGGTTTTCCACCTGTTCTTCCATTCACTAGCCTATAAAATCATGCACATTTCTACCTCTGTGCCTTTGTTCAATCTGTGTTCTTTTCTTGGTATTACTTATCTCTTTTCTGTAATTATTTGAATCTTTTCTTTTATTCACAAACCATTTCAGCAATGCATAACCTGGTCAAAGTGCTAAAATGATTGTTTCATTTAGCATTGGAAATTGTCTATTAATTCAGTACCTGGTAACTTATTTCAGAATGCTTTTGGCTGTAAGCAATAAGAAACTTAACTAAAACTCACTTAAACAATAAGAACATTGAAAGATAAGGCAGGATCTAGAGTTGGTTGATTAAAAAGCTTAATTAATCATCAAGTACTCAGGTCCTTTCTGTCTCTTTTAGCTCTTCCACTCATAATTCTATTCCATCTTAAGGCTTTTTTTTCTATTTTTTTTTTTTGGTACTGGGGTTTGAACTCAGGACCTATACCTCGAGCCACTCCGCCAGCCCTTTTTTGTGATGGTTTTTTTCAAGATAGAGTCTCATGAACTGTTTGCCTGGGCTGGCTTTGAACTGCCATCCTCCTGATCTCTGCCTCCTGAGTAGTTAGGATTACAAGCGTGAGCACCTGGCAGGCTTTTTACTATCTTGAAAGTAAGACTGTAGGAGGAAATCAATGCTACTTGCTTTCCTTGGCAAAACTCAGCAGGAGAGGGTAAGAAAAAAAAATCATTAACCCAACTATGGGATATAAATCTTTCCCACAGGAAGGATTGGGTGTGGTTGGGCCAACCTTAGTCTTACACACATTCTAAACCAATAACCATTTACAGGGGAATTGATTTAGACTAATCAATCCCTGAGCTAGGGATAAGGTTAGTTTTCCCTGAAGCATTGGTGGAAAAAGAACACACAAAATCAGGGTTGAGTTAGGAAGAAAAGAGATCAGGAATGGTGAGACAGATGCTGACAGATAAATAATTTTGAAACTGTGGCTAGGCAGTAGTAGTGCTAGGAAAAGGATATGATAAAAACACTGATAAGGGACAGATAGCCTAAACAAACCTGTGGTAGTCAGGAAGTACTCATGGAGGAAGCAAGGCCTGGGTTAAATCTTCAGGATGTAGTGAACCACATGAAAGAGTAAGCGGTAAGGAGGATGGTGTTTCAGGCAGAAGGAACAATATGGTATTAGAGGGCTACAAGTGGTTTGGTGTTACTGGAGTTTTAAGTGATGGTGCAGTAGAGGAGGAGGAGCAGGAGAAAGAGGTAGGATCCAGATCATAAAGGGTAAGTAGTATGCTGATCTAGAAGCTTACACCTTATCCTGTGGTGAACAAACTAAATATACCAACTAATGACCGATGTGGTCAGAATGGCATTTTAAATGTTTGGGAATAATTTTAAGGGAGTCATGACCAGAGGCTCCCCTAGCAGCCAAGATGAGCGATTGTGAGGTCCTAGACAAGGAAAATTCTTAAAATACTAATAGCACAGATTCTAGAGTTAGGTCTTGTGGGTTTAAACCCTGGCTCCACTTCTTAACTAGCTTGTTGATCTAAGGCAAATTACATATCCTCTTAAATTTGATTATCTGGGAAATAAGGCTGAGGCAGGAGGATCATGAGTTTGAAGCCAGCATGAACCACTAGTAAGGCCCTGTTTAAGGGGAAAAAAAGGCTTTTAGAGTTTTTTGTACTTGCAACTTTTCTGTAAGTTTAAGATTGTTTCAAATATAAAGCACTTAAAATGACTTTTATGAATTACATACAAGCACATTATCATTCTCAGTAACTTTACCTTTGGGGGCATGCTTATTGTAGATGATTTACCTTATAATTTATAATTTTATGATGGCATAACAGGGCCTGCACCCTAGAATAATAGCTGAAGGATTTGAAGCTGCAAAGATAAAGGCACTTCGGGTTTTGGATGAAGTTAAAGTGAAGAAAGAGATGAAAAGAGATACCCTTTTAGATGTGGCTAGAACATCTCTACGAATGAAAGTTCATGCTGAACTGGCTGATGTGTTAACAGAGGTATGTGATTAAATTTTATATTTAGAAGGAATATAGTCAAATCCATGATGATATTTTTCTTTTTCTGTAAGATAGTATTGCTTGTGATTTTTTAAATGTGAAAATAGGAAGACAGACCTTTATAATCTTATAGTATAGACAATATTTGATTGATTAAACTGTACTTATAATTTTTAAAAAGTGTCATAACACTTAAGTAGTTTGAAAGTTGGAAGGGGCTTGACTGCCTGTGGATTATCTCCTGTGGAAAACCTTGAGTATATACTAGTCTAAACCTAGAGTTCATATTTTGTTATATGAGGTGACACATGAGGAGAGGGTATTTTGGCAGGGTGGCTTATAGTTAGGATTACTGCTTTAAGGAAGTATGAGTGATCTGATATGTAGTATTCACATTTAGGAAATCCATACAGTAGACCCTTTTTATTTGTGGTTATATGGTTCCAAGGTGAATAAAAGCAGGATGCTCAGGATGCATAGAGCTAAGTGGTACTGAGGATGCTTGGTTCATTTCTTCCATAACGCTTACCTCTTAACTTCTGCTAAAGATATGTCACCTTTTAACAAATCTACAGTTCTTTACTTTATCACTTAAATTAAGCACATTAAATTTTGCCTTGTTTTTGGGCTACAATTTACTTTTTAGGAGGCAGATTTTCACAAAATTAAGGACAGGGAAATACTCAGAAATGGTTTAAACACATCTGATGATAGTATGGGACTGATTGAGAGCCTGTTCACATCAACTGAGCTGTATAATGTGCTTACAGGAATTTATAATTTTGTTTTTGAAATTTCTTTGAATTTTTAAAATTTATTTATTCACTGTGCTTGGTCAAAACTGTGTGCAGTAAGTCTGTGAATAGGGTGGGCTTACTATTTCTGGTTTGTTTATTTTTACACTTTTTTTTTAATGGTACTGGGGTTTGATCTCAGGGCCTACACGTTGAGCCACTCTACCAGACCTTTTCTGTGATGGGCTTTTTGAGATAGAGTCTCTCAAACAATTTGCCTGGGCTGGCTTTGAACCATGACCCTCCCGATCTCTGCCTCCTGAGTTGTTAAGATTATAGGCATGAGCCACCAGTGCCTGGCTACTTTTATACTTGGTCTTAGCCAAAAGGCTGAGAAGTGGTATTTTGTTTACTAGTAGAGCTAGAATATGTATAATGTAAAGAAATATTGGTTAGATATTTTTGGAAGACTTTTTAAGGTGGTTATCATTTGATTATATCATTGTTTCTCAGCTTTGCAGTTTCTGAAACTTGAATATATTAGTTTATCAGGAAATTCGTAACAACCAAATCACAAGACATTGACATACAAAGCAGAATGCTATTTTATTAATTTGCTTTAAGAAATACAAATGCCTTATAGATTGGTACACCTGAGTTGTTTCTGCTCATTTCTCCTTACCAATAGAAAAACCTTCTTGGGAGATCAGATCAAGATCAGACAATTACTTGCTGAGCAGAGTCAGAAGAAAGGCTCTGCTGTCTTTTCTGCTGTTGGAGTTCTCAGCAGCCCAGGATCTTCATGCTATTTGCTTAGGGCAGCTGTTTTCTTTCTTTTTTTGTTAGTACTGGGGTTTGAACTCAGGGCCTCCACTTGCTAGATAGGCACTCTGCCAGCCCTTTTTTGTATTGAATATTTTCCAAATAGGGTCTCACAAACTATTTTGACTATTTTGCTGGGGCTTGATTGAATGGAGATCCTCCTGATCTCTGCCTCCTGAGTAGCTAGGATTACAGGCATGAGCCTCTGGCGCCTAGCCAAGGGCTTCCTACTTGCTAGGCAGCCAAACCTCCAGCTCTGTCCTTAAAAGTACATACCCGTGGGGATATGTGGCACAATAAATGAGACATTCTGGAGTGTCAATTTTACTTTATAATTTTGGGAGAAAAATTATTTTGGAGAAAGCATTATTTTTGCATTGAAACAAGTATGTATATGTTGTGGCATTATATAAAATTGTCATGATAAAATATGAGACCTAAAAGCTGTTGTTATAGCCAAGGAATTTGAGGTGTTCTCTTAGGTTACATTCGTTCTCTGTCTATTAATGTGCCCTTTTGTTTGTTTTTTTTTTTTTGGACTTCAGGGCCTTGTGCTTGCTAGGCAAACATTCTGCTTGAGTCAGTCCTCCAATCTGTTTCTGCTTTTATTATTTTTAGGTGGGGTCTTACATGTTTGCCCAGAGCAAATTGTGATCCTCCCACCTATGGCCTTTTGCTTTGTTGGGATCACAGGCAAACCACACCATGCCCGGCTTATTGATTAAGATGGGCTCCATTACCTTTTTGTTAAGGCTGGCCTTGAAGTACTCTTCCATATCTCCACTTCTCTAGGAGTTAGGATTACAGATGTGAGCCACTCTGCCTAGCTTCTAATGTGTCTTTTGGTGGAAAAGTTTGGATAGTGTTGGGGTGGTAGAAGTAGCAGTGATGTGCTTGGCACGTGACTTGAATTCTTTTCCTGGCCCTGCCACTGTTAGATCTTATCTCAGTTTCCTTATCTATAGAATAAAGGTTTGGATCTGATGATCTCTGAAGTTCCTTTAGACTAAAGTATCCATTGGTGGTGTTTTTGTTAGTGTCCATTGGCCTTGCCTTATGGTTTGAAGCCTGGAGGCCCTTTGCCTGTTTAGTCTAGTATGGATTATTTGGGTCAAATTTCTTTCAGTAGCCCAAATAATTTACTATACTTCACTTCTCTTTCAGGCTGTGGTGGATTCCGTTTTGGCTGTTAGAAGACCGGGTTACCCTATTGATCTCTTCATGGTGGAAATCATGGAGATGAAGCATAAATCAGAAACAGATACGCAGTAAGTTGCATTAACTTTGAAAATATGTATATAAGTTCTAGAATACTTGTTTTTCTTCAGATATTCTTTTTTTCTTTTTTGCATTACTGGGGTTTGAAATCAGGGTTTATGCTTGCTGTGTAGATACTCTACCACTTGAGCCCCTTTTTGCATTAGGTTATTTTTCAGATAAGTCTGGCCTGGAACCTCCTACCTATGCCTCCCAAGTAGCTGGGATTACAGGTGTGAGCCTCTGCACCTTCTTCAGATATTACTTCATTAATTTCATTAGTTATTTTCATTCAACATTAATGTAGTCATTTAACATATATTAATTGGGTACTTACCATGAGCCAGGTGTTGGGATAAAGAGTAAACAAAACAGAATTTCTGTTCTCCAGGAGCTTGCATTTCTTTTTAATTTTTGTTTTTGTCTCTTTGAGAAGCTTACATTTCTAATTGAACTAGATAACAAAAAAAATCATGTATGTGATTTTATAATGTCCAGAGAAAACCTTTCTGATAAGAAACTTAAATACAGAATTAAGTGGTCCTTGACGAAATAAGGGAGCTAGTCCTGTGCCTGTCTAGAAGATGGTTCTAAGCAGAGAGGATAACTGTTGAAAGGCTCTGAGGCAGAAGTATGTTTGGGATGTTCTAGTGTGCCTGGAGCACAGAAGATAGGAAAAAGTAGAGAGGTAAAAGAGGGCTCTGTTTACTTTGGTAAACTTTCTATTATAGAAAATTCTTAAATATATATAAATACAGAACAGAGTAGAGAACTCCCATGCACTTATGTCCTTAATCAATTTTCAATATATGTCATCTATGTTTCCCAGACTATTTGCCCAGGGTTGGCTTTGCACCATAATCCTCCTGATCTCTGCCTCTTGAGTAGCTGGGATTATAGGTGCCTGGTTTATGTTTTCTTTTTAGTGGTACTGGGGTTTAAACTCAGGACTTCATGCTTGCTAGGCAGGCATTCTACCACTTGAGCCACTCCATCAGCCCATGTTTGTATTGGGTATTTTTGGGACAGAGTCTTGTGAACTATTTGTCCGGGCTGGCCTCGAACTGCAATCCTACTGATCTCTGCCTCCCAAGTAGCTAGGATTGCAGGTGTGAGCCACTAGCACCCAATTATTGTTTTGTTTTTTGAGACAGGGTCTCACTATGCAGTCCAGGCCAGGTTGGCTTTGAACTTTTTGATTAGCCTGGCTTTGCCTCCCAAGCACTAAGAATAATCTAAATTATTCTCATGCAAATCCAGACATACTATGTCACCTGTAAATACGTTATCATCTATAAATAAAGTTTACCCTAATATAGCTATAAAACATTATCACATCTAAAAATTAATACTAACTCATTAAAAGCATCATATTCAATTCATATTCAAATTTTTAGAATTGATTTTTTTTTCAGTTTTGTTTGGGTTAGAATGCGAACATAGTCTACATATTGCATCTCTTTCATATTGTTTCAGTTTGGCCATTTGTGGGTTCTTTTTTCCTGTCATTGTTTTTTGCTTTGATAATTATTTTGAAGAAGTATAGTTGTTTGACTTGATTTAGTAGAAAGAGTTTTGATTACTTATGCAGTTTTCTTAATAGGACTAGTTAGGTTCTCTACATATTTTTTGAATCATTTTATTAAGTAATTAGCGCTTATAAGAAAAAATTATAAGTGATAGTGGAAATTTGATCCCCTAAACTCAATGTGCATTTAAAAATAATGAGAACAGGGGTTTTGGAGAAAAGGAAGAAAGGTTTAATTTTTCCAGGCAAAATGAGGATTTTAATGACTTTCTGTCTCAAAAACCATACCATCCTAGTCCCAAAGGGGGAGGCATGGGCTTTTAAAGGAAAGCGCCAGAGAACAGACTTTGGGATGTACATGCTGAGGCTTGACTTTGGACCAGATGGTGGTCTTGGGTCTGTTTAGTTCCCAGTATGTTGGTTTTAGTTGTATCCCTTGCTGTCCTGGACATTCCTTCATTCATTGATGTGTTGGATGTTCTTTCATTCCCTTAGTGAGATAAGGAGAGAAGCATGATGACCTCGCCTGGATTTGTAAAGTATCTTTGAGTTCCCTTGCATGGGGGAATAGGCTAGGAGAAATAGAACAGTAAGAAAGAAGAGGGAAAAGAAAGTCTCTTAAAACTTGTGTAACTGGAACCTGCAGAGTGGCTCAAGTTGTAGACTGCCTGTTTAGCAAAGGTGAGGCCCTGAGTTCAAACCCCAGTACTGCAAATAAAACAAAATAACAACAACAAAACTCTTGTGTAACTGAAAGGAGGCTGGTCAGTAAAGTGAGTTAGTTATTGTGCTAAAACTGTAGTTGTGAGCATATTTAGGTTCCCATTCCTATTAAATAAGCACCTGAAAAGACCCATCATATGCTTCATTTTGGCCATTAGTTTCTCTAGGGTAACCTGATTTTTATAGCCTGTTTATACTTGTATAAGTAGAATCATGAAGTAGGTATTCTTTTGTGTCTTTTTTCATTCGGTATTGTTCGTTATATTGCATGTATTAGATTGCTCATTCTCATAGCTATTTAGCATTTTCTTGTGTCAATATTGTACAATTTATTCTACTATTGATAGGTACTTAGGTAGTTTTCCATATGTGGCCTTTATGAATAGTGTTTCTATAAACATTGTAACATACTTTTGTTAAACATGTGGATGCATGCTGTTTACTGTTCCCTTGAATTTGTAACAGCTGTGTGTGTTATCTTTATTCACTTATTTACAGAAGCTCTATTTGGTTCTTCCTTATGGCTGCCATGTCACATTTTATGGTTTGCTATTCCCTACTGATCTTTCCAAGTTTGCCTTTTAAAAAATTCCTTTTCTGTGAACCCTCATGCTGCCCTACCTCCTGGTCCTCAGTTTCATGCTGTTGGCCTGTTCCTTTTCTCCCTCTGCTACAGATGCTACAGTAGTCTAAATTTACAGTATCTGGGAAGTCTTGGTAACACTCCCCCCTCATTCTTTCAAAATTTACCTTCATATTTCCCTCTGAGATTTCTGAAAATCAGTCTCCAAGTTCCGTGAAAAATCATGACAGTATTTTGATATATATGGCTTTGACTTTATAGCTTAATTTTTGGAAAATAATTTTATTTTAAATATATGAACGCTTAAATAAGGCACTGCCTACTTTTGTTTAATATTGACCTCTATGGTGTTTGGCTTCTGCTCTGGGTATTAGTGCTTGGCCATTGGAATTGACCAGAAGGCTGTTCAGAAACACCAAAGATTGAGTAGACAATAAGGAAGTCCAGTTGGACTAGAATGGCTGAGAGGCAAGTGCTGCCACCAGGGCCACCTTATCTTCCTCTTCTAGTTTAAAAAGAGCTGTCATGTTTATGTTGTTTCAGTGAGAATTCCAATATGCATCTGGTTTTAATAAAATATGCTTATTCAAAAATTTCTTTAAACCTATGGTTCACGTGATCATTATAATACCTAAAGTTTTGACTTGTTTCTAGTGTTTATTGTATTTTTCTAGTTCTCTCTTATTATGCTTTGTTTCCATGTGTCCCATTCATTGTGCTTGAAAAAGTAAATGTACAAATTATTTGAGACTTAGAATGAAAGTGACTTTCTTCAGAGTGGATTTACATTTGCTGCTACAGGAAACCCAGGAACTACTTTGAATTTAGAAATTGAGGTTTTTTTGATATATTCATTTGATGTGACTTCTTAAACCAAGTCCATGTGAGAGCTAATTATTTGCAGTTCATCCTTTTGGAAAACTCTGAGTATGTAGCCTGTCAGGGTTGGAGCTTAATGTGAAGAAGGTCTCCTGTTAGACTCACCATTTTGGATAGGCCCTGGGCTTTTAACTTTGTCCCCTTCTCATTGTGAAGTTATTGAAACCAAAGTTCAGATATGCCTGGCTTGTCAAGTGACTTTAGGATAAAAACACCTGCAGTTCTCTACTTACCTCTTGAAGTTCCTGTTTTAGTTTTAGTTTTGGTCTAGTAATTCTTTGCTATCTTGTAGCTCTCCAGTATTGTTAAGTTTTGCAGAGCATTTTTAGTTTTTGGTAGTAGAGTTCATCCATATTAGCCTATCATTATTAAGGGTAACAAGTTCTTAATTTTTATTTCAGAAGTATATCTGTGGTTATTTTGCAAAGAATGCACTGTAGAACAATGTGACGGTGAGGAAGGGACAAAGGGAAGAAACAGGAACAGGCATCTGTTGGTATAGTTCAGGTGAGAAATGAAAGCGGTTTAGAGCGGGCATGTTTAGAAGGATAGCAGTGGGATTCGGTGGTGACTAGTTGTGGGACAGGACAGAAAGGATAGTCAAGGATGTTTCTCAGGTTTTTGCACGAGCAGCTAGGAAAGCGGAGATGCCATTTCATGGGACGGAGGCTGAGAGAATCAAGTTTGCAGAAGTAAATCTAGAGTTCAGTTTCGGGAGTGTTGTGTTTGTGATGTCTACCAGACATCCTGTGAAGATGTTGAGTAGGAAATTGGTGAGATGTATCTGGAGTTCAGAGTAGAGGTATTTGAGAGTCATCAATGTGTGGATGACCTAAAGCCACGAGACTGAATGAGATCAATTGGGAAGTAAATACAAATAGAGAAAAGATCAGTGTAAAGACTGAGCTGTGGCAACTCCAGTGTTCAGAGTTTGAAAAGATGCAGATTCATCAGAAAGGGCTGAGGATGGATAGTCAATGAGGAAAACAGAAGAGAGAATAGTGCCTTACAAACCAAGAGTTAAGGTGTTTGAAGTAGGACAGAATAAGCAACTGTGTCATATGCTGCTGAAAGTTTAAGTACATTGTGAACTGAAAATTGATCATTAGATTTGAAAAACAAGTTTTTTGATGGCTTTAATAAGAACTGATTTAGTAAAGAGATGGAAATGAAAGTCAGAGTAAAGGCAAGTTTAATTAAGAGCAAACAGTAGGGAAAGAGGAGGAAATGCAAGTATAGACAACTGGGAGGAGATTAGCTGTAAAGGGGAGCAGAGAAATGGAGGAGCCAGTCTCTCCTGGAAGGGAATATGGGACTGGGGTAATGGAGAAGAATTCTTTGTTTTAAAGATGGGAATTATCATAGCAAGGCTGTTCCTGTTCTGCAGGAACAAAGAGGGGAAATAGAATTCAGTATGCAGGCACAGAGTTAGCTTTGTAAGAGGGGTATGGGCAGTTTGTTCATAGCAGCCGGATGTTCAGGATCAAGTGCCCAAGATTGCTAGAAGTAGTGGTGAGACAGTGTTTCTGTTTTCTCAAAGAACCAAGGTCATTTGATGAGAGAAGAAGAGGAAGCATGAAGGAGGCTGGAAAAGTGAAGAGTATTGAACATACAGTTCCTTCCCAAAGTATCTTCACGTTCAGCAGCTGGAGTGATCTAGTTAGACAATTGAATACGTCCTTATAACTTAAACTATTGAAAAAATTACTTTAATATATAACCAGTATTGGCTATACATTTTTTTTTTTTACGGTACTGGGGCTTGAACTCAGGGCCTACACCTTGAGCTACTCCACCAGCCCTATTTTTGTAATGGTTTTTTCAAGATAGAGTCTCGAGAACTATTTGCCCAGGCTGGCTTCAAACTGCAATCCTCCTGAGGTCTGCCTCCTGAGTAGCTAGGATTATAGGTGTGAGCCACCAGTGCCCAGCTTGGCTATAAAAATTCTTAAATAGAAATGCTGTCTCCTAAATGTGTGTAAATGACTTACAAAATTATAAAAATCTTTAGGAAAAAATATTTAGAAAACAGAAAAAAACCCTCTCCATCATCTATATTCCTACCATTCAAATCTAAATAGGGGCCTTACTATTTATTTACTCGTTTGTGTGACTCTGGGGACTGAAGAATGCAGTCTCAGCATGCTAGGCAGGTGCTCTACCAGCTGAGCTACATTCCCAGCCCTGTTTTCTTTTTTAATGTCAACATGCTTTTTTTTTTTTTTTTAAAGATTAGTTACATTTAGTTACAATCATGCTTTATATGCAATTTGTTATTCTGTTCTTATCAGCTAGCCCTGTAAATATTTTTTCATGTCATTACATAGTTTTCATAACTATCAAATATTGGGTCATTATTTGCTGAACAATATCCTATTGTTGGACATTTAGGTTAACAATTTTTAGTTGTATATAATTATTTTGAACAAATATTCGTAAGAGATTCATTGTGTGCCTACCTTTCATTATTTGTTCAACTGTTTCGGATTTTTGAGCCCTGTAACTTAGAGAATAATTCTGGTTTGACTTTTCATTGTGACTTCACAATCACACTGTGTTAAAGTACATTTTCTCTCCTAATTTTACTAATTATATGTTAGGTTCAAAGTAGGTACTAGGAAACAATGTATGCCCTGGCTGTTTTGTTACAACTTTTGAGTATAATTCTAATTTTAGAGTGTATGTTCAAAGTAAGAAACATCATGTCTTTTAATAGGTTGATCCGAGGATTAGTTTTGGATCACGGTGCCCGTCATCCACACATGAAGAAGCAAGTAGAAGATGCATTTATCCTTACTTGCAATGTATCACTAGAATATGAAAAAACGTATGTGTTAATTTCTCTTTATAACTTTTGAAATTGTTTTTTTCCTGAGTGTTTTTTAATCTCTCCCTCCCGCATGCTTTACTAGCTTGTTTTGTTTGTTTGTTTGTTGAGACAGGGTCTTGAGGCCCAAGATGGCCTCAAATTTGCAATCTTTCTGCCTCAGCCTCTGGCATGTTTGACTTACTACCTTACTTTTTATTAATATTTTAGAGAGGTGAACTCTGGTTTCTTTTATAAGACTGCAGAAGAGAAAGAGCAATTTGTAAAAACTAAGAGAAAATTTATTGATGATAGAGTACAGAAAATAATAGACCTGAAAGACAAAGTCTGTGCTGAGTCCAATAAAGGATTTGTTGTCATTAATCAAAAGGTGAGAAAACAAGCTTAGATTTTAATTATTTGTAAATGTTTACAAATTTCTCAAAGTGTGCTCTATGGACCGTTAGCATCCCTAATATCCTTTCAGGACTGTGAGCTCAGAACTATCTTCAAATTAATAACAATGCCTTTTATACAGCGCTGACCTGTGCAGTGATGTGCACAAACAAAGGTAGCACCTTAGTACAAGTCAAGGCAGTACCACCAGATTGCGTTAGTCATCTTGGTCTTTATTGTACATCACCACACACTTGCAGAAAAAAGTCACTTTCATTTAAGAATGTCTTGATGAAATGGCAAAACTTATTAAGTTTATTAAATTTTGATCCCTATGCATGCGTCCTTTAGTAATTTTGTGTAATAAAATGTGAAGTACACACAAAGCACTTTTGCTACATACCAAGGCTAATGGTTGTCTTGAAGGAAAGCTTTTTTTTAAATTCATTTATTCATATGTGCATACATTGTTTGGGCCATTTCTGACCCTTGCCCCCCCGCACCCTCCCTCACCCTCCCACTCTCCTCGCTTCCATGCAGAACCTGTTCTGCCCTTTTCTCCAATTTTGTTGAAGAGAGGACATAAGCAATAATAAGAAAGACATAGCATTTTTGCTAGTTGAGATAAAGATAGCTATGCAGAGAGATTCCTAGCATTGCTTCCATGCACATATATATTACAACCTGAATTGCTTCATCTCTACCAGTTCACTACTCCCTGATCACTTGAAGGAAAGCTTTTGTGTAATTAAACTGTGAAAGAAAGACAGACAAGTTGTGCTTATTTAGATTGGGGTATTTGGTAGATTTTTCTGAAAAATGATTGAAGCAATCCTATTACTTCAAGGAAGATACCTGACAATATTTGTTGCTGATGGTAATTTGAGCCTAATTCAATGAGTCAATATTTTCCAAATGACTAAAAAATGAATGGTTTTATAAAAAACATACCTGGACAAATAACTCATTTAAACTATAAGACTATGTGTGAATTTAGAGGGCTAACAGAGGGTATCTGACACTCTGACACACAGGGTATCTAGCTCTATTTACTGTATAGTTATGCATTGTTCTTGCATAGAATACTCTGGAATAAGTACTTTATTGGTAAATGTTTCAGTGTGTCTTTAATTTTTTGCTAGCAGAAATGCTAACATAAAAATTCCAAAGGGTTGAGTTCAGATCAGAGTATCTTCCCTGCTCTGTTAATTAAACTTTGGAACATTGAAACTGGCTGGGGAAAATGATTGGATAGAAAATGTATTTCTATTCATTTAATCCCCAGCCTACACACCATTGCTTTGTTTTGTTTTTTGTAGTACTGCAGCTTGAACTCAGGGCCTTCACCTTGAGCCACTCCACCAGCCCTATTTTTGTGATGGGTTTTTATTTTTTTTTTTATTTTTTATTTTTTTGAGATAGGCTCTCACAAACTATTTGCCTGGGTTGGCTTCAAACTGCAATCGTCCTGATCTCTGCCTCCTGAATAGCTAGGATTACAGATGTGAGCCACTGGTGCCTGGCTACTTTAATTTATAATATGATAAATATAGATGCAGCTCATATAAACAAAAGCCCTTTGGATTCTTCATAATTTTTAAGAGTATAAAGTGTACTGAGACCAAAAAGTTTGAGAAATAGTGGTTTAAAATATATTTATGGCTAGCAGTGTACCCAGTGGTAGAGCACTTCCCTAACATGGGTTTGACCCATAGCACAGCAAAAATAATAGTAATAATAAAAACCACACTTATAACTTTTATGTTATTTGGTTATAGGGAATTGATCCATTTTCTTTAGATGTTCTTGCAAAACATGGAATAGTAGCTCTTCGCAGAGCAAAAAGAAGAAATATGGAAAGGTAAGCTTACAAATTATGTATCCCAGTTTTTAAAAATAGATTAAATTGAACTCATCCCAGGCATATTTCTGATGTTTTTCCTTCTTTCTTTTTGAGAGAGAGATCTTGCTATGTATTCCAGTTAAGCCTGGAACTTTGTAGCTCAGGCTGGACTCAAATTTGTGATCTTCCTGCCTCAGGGATTACAAGTGCGCACCGCCATGCCCAGCATCCATGTATATTCCTTTTAGTTCATAAGTAAATATTGTTGAGCAAAATAGTAGCATACAAATTCTAAATTTTGTTCAGTAAAAATTGAATTGTCAAAAATTTTAACTTCCTAACTTTGTTGAAGTACAAGGAAAGTTTTCATCTTTAAAAAAACAGATTTAGGACTGGAGGAGTGGCTGAAGCAGTAGAACACCTGCTTTGCAAGCATGAAGCCCTAAGTTCAAACTCCAGTTCCACCAAAAAAAATGTTATTAAAAAACAGATTTAAAAAACAGCATAATACTGCAGGATCTCACTTATATGTGTGATCAAAATATATTGATCCATGACTTTGATAGGAGAGTGATAGTTCAGAGGAGCTGGAGTGGAACAGAGGATGAGGAGCTTGGCAGATGATGGTGAAAGGATACAAAATTTCCATTGGAAATTCAAGAATCTGTCATACAACATGGTGACTATAATTAACAATATATTGTATGGCTGAGAAAATGCTAATGGAATAGATTTTAAGTGTTCTCACTACAAAATGATAACTATGAAAGGTCATGCATGTTAATTAGCTTGATTTAGTCATACTACAGTGTGTATGATGAATTAATTAATTTGGTGATTCCCTACCACTTGAGCCACACCCCCAGCCCTTTTTTGTTTTAGTTATTTTTCAGAAAGGGTCTCACGTTTTTGTCCAGGCTGGCCTCACTATGATCCTCCTACCTATGCCTCCCACATAGCCTGGATTATATGCATATACCATTATATCCAGCTTATTTGTTGAGATGGGGAGGGGTCTCATTAACTTTTTGCTGGGGTGGCATAGAATTGTGATCCTCCTGATCTTCACCTCCTGAGTAGTTGGGATTATAGCTGAAAGCCACCATGCCCAGCAATGTGTGTATATATATTTGTATATGAATATTTGTTGTACTTGATAAGAATAAAAATTTTATTTGTTAACTAAAATTAAAAATTTAAAATAAACCACCCCAAACAATATAGTACATACAGTTTTCTGTGTTAGATATCGTCTCATCTTTAAGAAATTAGCCTTTATGTTTTCCATAACCAAAGCTGTGGTGATGTATGTATAATTTCAGACTTTGTCTTGCTTGTGGTGGAATGGCTGTGAATTCCCTTGAAGACCTCACTGTAGACTGCTTGGGACGTGCTGGTCATGTATTTGAGTATACATTAGTGAGTAGTTCTGTAGATCATGATTATGAAGTAAACACTAAGCCTGTTTTTAATATTAATCTTTTAATTCATATTTTGCATTTTAAGGTCTGATTAACCTATAGGACAGATTTTAGTTATTTAAATGTTTGTTAAGAGTTCAAATATAACTGGAGTACTTTTTTTTTCTTGAGGTACTGGGGTTTGAACTCAGGGCCTGCACTTGAGAACACTTCATGAGACCTTTTTTGTGATGATGTTTTTTTTTTTTCGAGATAGGGTCTCATGGATTATTTATTTGCCTGGGCTGGCTTCAAACCTTGATCCTCCTGATCTCTGCCTCCTTAGTAGCTAGGATTACAGGCGTGAGTAACCAGCATCTGGCTACTTTTTTTTTTTTTTAACTCTGATCCTGCTTAGAGATACTTTTTTTTTTAAGTCAGGGTCTTGTTAATGTAGCTCAGGCACAGTCCTCCTACCTTAGCTTCCCAAGCATTGGGATAACTTACCTACTTTTAAACATACCTTTTGTTATGCTTGATAAAGAAAATTAATGTGAAGACTGAATTCTGATATAAACTAGGCTTTGATTTCATAGTGACATTGAGTATTAAAGTCATATCTTTTCCTCCCTCCCTCCCTTCCTTCCTGTGCTGGTGATCAAACCCAGGTTCTTGTGAATGCTAGGCAAGTGTTCTGACACTGAGCTATATCTCCAGCCTTAAAGTTTGTCTTCTCATGTCATTCTTTAGGGTGAAGAAAAGTTCACTTTTATTGAGGACTGTGTTAACCCTCACTCTGTCACCTTGTTGATCAAAGGACCAAATAAGCATACTCTCACACAAATCAAGGATGCCATAAGAGACGGACTTCGTGCCATCAAAAATGCCATTGAAGATGGTAAGCTCTTTTTTGTATGGATATGAACCTCACATAATTATAAACAATGATAAATCTCTCTTGTTATGTATGGAATTTTAAAAGATACAATGATTACTCTTCTCTCATTTCACCTTGGACAATTTGTAGTTTTAATTATATAAAGATTTTTGGAATATTCTTTTCTTTTTTTTTTTTTTGTGGTACTGGGTGTTGAACTCAGGTCTACACCTTGAGACACTCAACCAGCCCTTTTTTGGCCAGGGTTTTTTCAAGATAGGGTCTCTTGAACTAGTTCCCCAGGCTGACTTCCAATTGCAATCCTCCTGATCTCTGCCTCCTAAGTAGCTAGGATTGCAGGTGTGTGCCACTGGTGCCCGGCTTGGAATATTCTTAATAGTATGCTATCTTCTTAGTTAACTCCTATTTAGGAAATGAAAAAGCATCTAATTCTATCATGTGACTTTTTATTTTTAGGATTCTTTTTTCAGTGCTGGGGATTGAACTCATGAGCTCACACTTGCTAGGCAAGGGCCCTACCACTTGAGCCATGCCCCCAGCCCTTTTGTTTGTATTCTGCTTTTGATAGGTTCTTGTGAACTTTGCATTGGCTAGCCTTGAACTCTAGATCCTCTTGCCTCCACCTCTCAAGTACCTGAGATTGCAGGTGTGTACCGTGACTCCCAGCTTAGGAATTCATTTTATGAAAAAGCTTTCATACTTCATAAGTTATTCCATTACCTCAAGTGCAGTGTAATTTTAAGAAAGATTAGGAAGGAGTGTTAACATTTATTATTAATTGGTAATTTATAACCAACTGCCTTCTAAAAGGAGTTGGGGTAAGCTGGCGGAGTGGCTTAAGCAGTAGGAGCACCTGCCTAGCAAGCATGAGGCCCTGAGTTCAAACCCCAGTGCTGCCAAAAGGAAAAAAGTCAAAATAAAAAATTGCCAGGTGCCAGTGGCTCATGCCTATAATCCTAGCTACTCAGGAGGCAGAGATCAGGAGGATCTTGGTTCAGAGCCAGCCCAGGCAAATCTTCATGAGACCCTATCTCGAAAAAATCCATCACAAAAAAGGACTGGTGGAGTGGCTCAAGGTGTAGGCTCTGAGTTCAAACCCCAGTACCACACACACACAAAAGGGAGTTGGGGAAGATTTAAAATGGAATAATAGGCACAGGAAAAATTATCCAACATCATTAGTCATTAGGTAAACGAAAATCAAAAGCACAAAGAAATACCATTTCACATCCCTTTGGACAGGTATAATAAAACGGATGGATAGCAATAAATGTTGACAGGAATATAGTGAACTTGGAACCCTAATGCATTACTGATGGGAACTTTTAGAGGATGGATATTTCTTCAAAAAGTCAAAGATAGTTACCATATGATGCAGCAAATCCACTCTTCAGGATGTATACAAGAGAGTTGAAAACAAACATCTGCACAAAAACTTGTCCACAAATGTTCATAGCAGTATTATTCATAGTAACCAAATGTGGAAACAATCCAGATGTCCATCATCTGATGAATAGGCAAACGAAAAGTGGTATGTCCACAAGTTAGAGTATTATTTGTCACAAAGGGAATCAATTATTGATTACAACATGGATGAACCTTGGAAATATTATGCTGAGTTAAAGAATCCAAACAGAAAAGATCACATATTAGAAATGTCCAGGAAAAGCAAATCCATACAGATAAAAAGTAGGTTAGTGGTTGACAAGTGCTGGGGGGAAGGGAAGGAGTGATTGCTAACAGGCACAGAGTTTTTTGTTAGGGAGGGGGCATGAAAATGCTCTGGTAATGGTTCCATAGCATTGTAAATATACTAAAAAGCCACTGAAAAAACCAGGTGTTGTGGTGCATGCTTGTAATTCCAGCACTACAAAAAGAAGGCAGTGACCCATATATAAAACCTCGTATTATTTCCATTTAGGAAATGATGTGTTTTCTCCTTTCCAATAGTGAAATCTATGTAACTGATCCTACTTCTTTACATTCTGCCAATGTAAATATTAAATGATTATTATATTTACTATTATTTATATTCTTTTCTCTAGGTTCTAATTTTCTGCTTCAACCTTTCTTTCACATCTATGTTTTTGCTTATCAAGAAAGCTAATTGTTATTTGTAATGGTTATTACTGTTTATAAATATGTAATTCACATGCCATAAAATTTAGCCTTTTAAAGTGTGATTTCAGTGGGTTTTTTTTTTCTTTTAAAAACTTTTTTATTATTTTATTTTTGAGGTGCTGGGGTTTGAACTCAGGGCCTATACCTTGAGGCCCTCCTCCAGCCCTTTTTTTGTGATGGGTTTTTTTCAAGATAGAATCTCAAGAACTATTTGACTAGGCAGGTTTCAAACTGCAACCCTCCTCTCTCTGCCTCCTGAGTAGCTAGGATTACTGGTGCGAGCCACCAGTGTGTGAGCCACTGGTGCCCAGCTTCAGAGGGTTGTTTATTTGTTTGAGATAGGATCTCACTAGGTAGCCCAGGCTGTACTGGAAATCACAATCGTTTTGCCTCAGCCTCCTGAGTTGCTGGGATTACAGGTATGTACCAGAAAACCTGGCTAATTGTTTAAAAAAAAAATTGGCAGTACTGGGGTTTGAACTCAGGGCTTTAGTGCTTGCTAGGCAAGCACTCTACAACTTGAACCACTCCCTCAACCTAATTTTTTTAAATTGTTGAACTTTTGTGTAGAATTATTTCTCCATTAAACATTTGGTAGAATTTGTAAAGCCATCTGAACCCAGAGTTTTCTTTATGGGAAGGCTTTTAACTCCAAATTCAATCTCTTGAATAGGTAGAAAGATATTAAGGTTATCCTTTTTTGAGTGGGCTGTAGGGGTTTGTGTCTTTCAAGAATTTGTTCACTTTGGGCCGGAAGTATGATAGTGCACCTGACTAGCAAGCATGTAGCTCTGCGTTCAAACCCCAGTGCCACCAAAGAAATTGTCCACTGTGTTAAGATCACCAAACTACTGCCTATGAACTAAGTCTGATTGATTGTCTATTTTTGGTAAATAAAGTTTTATTGGAATACATTTGTTTGTTTTGTGCATGGCTGTTTTTGTGCTACAGTTGAGTAAGAAATGGTATGGCCACAAAGCCTAAAGCATTTATTAACTGGCTTTTTGCATAAAGTTTTCCAACCTCTGAGCTGACTTTTCAACTTTATTAGCATAAAGTTGTTTATAACTTTTTTTATTATTGTTCTTAATATGTGTAAAATCAGTAGTAATGTCATTTTTCTCATTTCTGATATTTCTCATTTTTATTTCATTAATTTCCACTCTGAGCTGTATTATTTCCTTTCTTCTGCACTTTGGGTTTCATTTGCTCTTCACTTTCTCTTTTCTTAAGATAGAAGATGAATTCATTGGCTTATGGACTTTCTTCTTTTCTAATATAGGTGTTTAGTGATATAAGTTTCTCTTTAAGTATTAAACTGCTTTGGTAGTATCCCACAAATTTTGATTATCTTGGGTTTTCACAAGGGAATGGGATAAGGGAAGTTTTCAAAGGTACTAGTAATCTCTTTCTTGAGCTAGGTGGTAGTTACATGAATACGTTTGTTTATTTGTACATTTATTCTTTTTACTTTCACATATAAATATTCTTTTTGATATGTATTGTTTTTAGTAAGGAGGGTTTTAAAAAGTGTGAAAGGGATGCAAAGATATAATCACTTTGTAGGTAAACAACCCTTTCTGCAGTTATGTTGTGAAATGAAGCCGAGAAAGGGGATAGTAATTAAAAATGACAAGAGAAAATAAGAGATTGCTTTTGTATTATTTTGTTTTAAAGATAGGTGATTTCAAAGAGAGTTTGTTGATTTAAGTAAGTCATAAGCTTTATGAAACTATGCAAGCAGATATAAAAGTCATATCCTGTTGTAAAAATTGATGGATTTAACCACAGCTCTTGCTTAGAATAATAAAACCACCTGAATTTTTTCTTAGGTAGCAAGCAATTTGGGTTTTCCTTCAATACAGAAAACAAACACTTCATTGAGTCCCAAGAACTCCATGCCAAAAAACTCTGGCCAAATTATCTTACCCTAAAAATGTTCAAATCAGATATTACAATCAGTTACCTGCCACTGTACACTACAAATAAGTATCTTTTTCATGTAGTCATAGAAGAATAACATGAAGGTAAAAGAAGTGTCTACTCTTATTTGCCAAAGAATAAACAATGCAATACACTGTTTGTAGCCAGTTATCTGTACTGTGCTTAATTATTTAACTTCAGAATACTTTAAAGGGTAACCGAGGAATTACTGAGCTGTGCAATTTACTTCATTTCTGTGTATATTTGAATACATTTTAGAGGCAGGCAAGATAATGGAACATACTTGCTGAGCTAATTGCTTTTATCCCTCCTTTTCCGGTGTGGCATGTCTTGCCATCACCTTTTTCCTCCAATAGGTTGTGTGGTGCCAGGAGCTGGAGCGGTAGAAGTGGCAATAGCTGAAGCGCTTGTTTACCACAAGCATAGTGTTCCCGGAAGAGCTCGTCTTGGAGTCCAAGCTTTTGCTGATGCTTTACTCATCATTCCCAAGGTACAACCATCCTACTGGCCAGATAACAACTGGCCAGACCTAAGGGCATTTAATTACAAATTGCTCATATTACCTAACAGCAGATTAGTAAGACAGGTATTTATTTGCATCTCCTTATACAGTTTTCTCTTAGATATTTATCACTCTATCAGGGAAACCTTTTTCTAAGCAAGATATCAGCTTAGAACCCTTTCAGGTTCTAAGGTGCCAGTGGCTCACGCCTGTAATGTACCTACCCTGGAGCAGAGATCAGGAGGATTGTAGTTCGAGGCCAGCCTGGGCAAATAGTTCCTGAGATCCTATCTCAGAAATACCCAACACAAAAAAGGGCTGGTGAAGTCACTCAAGTGGTAGAGTGCTTGCTGATCATGCATGAGGCCCTGAGTTCAAACTCAGTACTTCTAAAAGAAAAAAAAAAGTCAAATTATTCCCTTGCAACATTCTTTGAGCTTCAAATTAAATTATCTGCAAAAGTTTTCTTCAGAAATGGTTCATGATTAACCAATCATAATGAAAAGTTTAGAAGTTAAAATTTAATTGGATTTTAGAGTAGAACTTTATTTTGTTGATGGTATACAAAATATTATTACTGTAACTGCAGGAAGTAAGAATTTTAGCATCCCCAAATACTAATGGCTTGCTTTTTTTTTTTTTTTTTTTTGGTGGCGTTACTGGGGTTTGAACGCAAGGCTTACACCTTGAACCACTCCATCAGTTCCTTTTCTTGTGATAGGCTTTTTCGAGATAGGGTCTCACAAACTATTTGCCCGGGCTAGCTTCAAACCATGATCCTCCTGATCTCTGCCTCCTGAATAGCTAGGATTACAGGTGTGAAACTCTGATGCCTGACTTGCTTTTGTTATTGTCATAATTCGTAGAAAAGGAGGGAAGCCAGATTTTTTATTTCCAAAGTGTAACAGGACAGAGAACTATCATTCCTTTCTCTTTGCCTTAATTTGGTTGTGAGCCACTTAGAAATAAAACTGTTTCAAACATGCTATTACCATGAATTAAAACATTACTACAAAGCTGACAAAGTCTTTTAAATAATTTCTATTGAAATTATTTATAATTTGTGGGCTATTTGTGAATCATATGCCTCTTTTTCTTTTTGCAGTCTAGGGTTTTAACTCAGGGCCTTGCACTTGCTAGGAGATGCTCTACCATTTGGGTGTCTCCAAACCCTTTTTGTTTGTGTTTTTCAAATAGGGTCTCACATGTATGCCTGGGCTGGTCTGGACTTGGCTGCTCCTATTTATGCCTCCTGTGGAGCCAGGGTGACAGGTGCATGCCATCATGCCCAGTTTTATTGGTTGAGATGGGGTCTTGCTAACTTTTTTGCTGATCAAACTGCTATCTTCCTGATATATGCTTACCAAGAAGCTAGTATTATAGTTATGAGTCAGTGCACCCAGCATCTATTTTTTTCTTTTCCCAAAGCAGCAAAGACAGTAATTTCTGTTGACAGAAATTGGTATACAGTGGTGGTACCTTTCTTTCATCAGCTGTTGGGTTGGAAATGAGCTTGATTTGGAGTATAGTTATCTCCTTCCCTGTTGCCACAAGTCATGGCTCTTTTATTGAAGATGCTGCAAATATGTACCTTTCTTTAGCAAGTGCCTAGGAAGAAGGATATGTGACTAGAGAGACTAGTGGAAAACAGAATACTCTTTTATTTCCTTCCACATTTGAAATAATCTTTTGACAAGGTGAGGGCCCTGAGTTCAAATCCCAGTACCACAAAATAAATAAATAAATTGACACAATCCAAAAAAAAAAAAAAGATCTTTTGAGTTCCACACAGTGGCTCATGCTTGTAATCCTTGTTATTCTGGAGGTAGAGATTGGAAGGATCATGGTTTGAGTCCAATCCCCAGCAAAAAGTTCGTGAGACCCCCATCTCAACAAAAAGCTGGACATGGTGGTGTATCCCTGTGAACCCTGCTCTGTGGGAGGCATAGGTAAGAGAACTGCAGTTTGAAGCCGACCCTGGGCAAAAACACAAGACCCTATCTGAAAAAAAAAACCTAAAAGTAGAAAGGGCTGGAGTTATGGCTCAAGTGGGAAAGCACCTGCCTAGTAATCACAGGGCCCTGAGTTCAAACCCCAGCATCACAAAAAAAAAAAAAAAAAACTTTTGCAAGGAAAGAAATTAAAATTAATGTAGTAGAGGTCGGGGAACTCTAGTGTCCTCAGAACTTAGTGTAATGTGCACAGGGAAAATGTTTAAGAAAATATAAGATCTACCAGATAGATAAAATAATATTTTGATTTAGATTAAGAATGTTTTCCTTTTTTTTTTTTTGTAGTGCTTGGACTGGAACTTTATGCCCTGTGCCTGCTAAGCAAATGCTCTAGCAAACCTGGCAGTGGGGTTTGAACTCAGGGCCTCATACTTGCTAGGCAGGCACTCTACCACTTGAGCCACTCTTTCAGCCCAAGTTCTTTATTTTTATATTTAATTTTCATATATATAGGTGAAGGTATTCCACACATATATTTATTATTATTTTTATTCTTAAAGGTTCTTGCTCAGAACTCTGGTTATGATTTCCAGGAAACACTAGTAAAAATTCAGGCTGCGCATTCAGAATCAAAACAACTTGTTGGCATAGACTTGAATACAGGTAAGAAATTGAAGAAAATTAACTTCTTAATAAAGAGGTTATTCTTCAGTGGTCCAGATCTTACAAATAAAGAGGGGTCGGGGTTTGAGTGACTTTATTATTTAAATTTTGGGTGCCTCTACTTTATTTTTGAATGTCTTAGAATATTCATTCATTTTAAGAGCTATTATTAAGTGCTTACTTACTTCCTGGAATTCACACAGAATAAAATAGACAAAAAATGCCTGCCTTTGTGAACTTCTGTTATAGTGGGGAGTACAGGCAGTTAATAACCTTAATAAATAAGTTCCTTTAGCATTTGAGAAAATAATAAATTTGATGAAAAAAATAAAGGGTGATCACAAATGCTAATAGGGGTTACAACTTAAAGAGATTGTACAGGGTAGACTGAGAAGATGTCTGTTGAAAAAGTCAAAGGAAATGAGGAAGTTAACCACATGGGGAACTGGGAATAAGTGTTCTAGGGAAAGGAACTAGCCAGTGGAAAAGTCAGGATGTGATGTTTTTGAGAACAAAGGAGGTGACAGAGGTGATAGAAGGTCAAATAGTGCAGGGCATATGAGCTAGTCTCAGGACTCACCAGAGTAGGTGAGATGTGGAGCAATTTTGAGTGGAGATGTGACATGGTCTGTTCTTAAAAGGATCACTGTGGCTACTGTCCACTCTGTGGAGAAGAGTCAACTGAACAACTAGCAGATTGAAATTGCCATTGACTGCATTGGAGCAGACTGAGTAGAACAGGTTGAGGGAACATAAGCATTCAGTTTTGACAAAGTTAAGTTTGAAGTGTCTGTAGTCTTTCAGATAAACTAGTCAGTTGGATAAAAGGATTTGGAACTCTAGAAAGATTGGGTTGGAGGTAAAAACATGAGAGTCATCAGGTGTATATAGTTTAAATTCAGAAAACTGAGATCATAAGCATAGAGAGAAGAGAAGAATCTTGGACTGAATCTTTGGTTACTCCAGCATTAAGAGCTACTTGTGCAATAGAAAGAAAAGCAGGGAGTGTGGTGTTCTGGAAGCCAAGAGAAGAAAGTGGTCAGGAGGGTATGTATGATCAGCTCCCGCAAGTGCTGCTGGTGGATGAGGCCTGGGAATTAGCAACATAGAGGTCATGGATGACTTCGGCCAAGGTAGTTTTAGAAACATATTAAATATTGTTAGACTATACCAATCAACATTGAGAAAATACATCAATATTGTAATATTAAAATGGTTTGTTTTTACTTTGCAGGGGAGCCAATGGTAGCAGCAGATGCAGGAGTTTGGGATAATTATTGTGTGAAAAGACAACTTCTTCATTCTTGGTAAGTTGGCAATAATATAAAAAAGAAGGATCTTTAGGGATATAATTGTTAACATAGAAATATCTCTGTTATTTTTGTCTCCTTACAGTAGAAAAGTTGTCAAGTTTATGAAAATGTGTGATAGCCAGTTATTAAGAGTAGCTTCTATCATTTTTACAATCACTTTTCTATTTTATTTGTAGCAGTGTAACTTACTGGAAAAGTTAACCATGCTCTTTATTTGAAGGGGAAGGTAAAGAGGAAATTATTGAAAGTGTACCACCTCTACACTGGGGGAAATCCAATGATGTAGTTAAAAATAAGCTCAGTTTTGCTTATAAATCAGGTTTCCACCTTGCTAGCAAAGGAGTTGAAATTATAATACAAAGGGTGATGTTTGTATTTATAATAGCTTTGTCTCATAAAATCTTACACCAACCTAATTGAAGGAAAAAAATGCCCTTGATACCTGCAGATTGTTGGGGGAAAATATAAGTGTGGGTCAGTTGCCTTTACTCACACTCCTCTTTGTCCTTAGCACAGTGATTGCCAGCAACATTCTCCTGGTTGATGAAATTATGCGAGCTGGGATGTCTTCTCTCAAAGGGTGACTGAATTCAAAAGTCAACTCTTCTAGAAGACAAGATTTAATATACCTTACATCAACTGCTGCTGTACGGGCTGAGCTATTATTAATTTTTACTAAATAAATGCAGTTTATATCTTTCGGTCTTAGCAGTCTCAAAAGTATTTCATCAAGATGTAAAGAACATAAGAAATATTTTCATAGTGAAGGAATAATACTGGGGATATTTTCTCTTGAGTCTTGACTGTCCATCCTGTGTTGCATGCTATTGCAGTTTTCATAAAATGGAATCTATTATGATTTTTAGACCTTCTGGGAAACGTTTAATTAGTCAAGTATGGAGCACAGGTTTTAGAGCATCCAAGTCAATTTCCAATATATTAAAGGTTATAAAGGTGGTAAGATAAAATGTTTTATTCGCTCTCAGAAATTCTTCAGTAACTTCTTGCTGCCACTCTTTTCTCTTATAAATATGGCATAGCTTATAAATATAGGTTTGTTTTATAATATTTGGTTCCATTTATTTAGTATATATTTTATTACATTTTATCTGGCTCTTAAAATTTTTATTTATTTACTTATTTATTATATTTGTTTGTTTATTTTTTGAGACAATCTCTTATTATGTAGCTCAAGTTGACCTGGAACTCTCTAAGTAGCCCAGGCTGGCCTTGAACTCCCAATCCTCCTGCTTCAACTTTTTTAGTACTGAATTACAACCTGGCTTTTTTTTTTTTTTTTTTTAATGATACTGTGCTAGTTCTGATAGGTCTTTGAGTAGATGATGTGACGGTCTTACCTGGAGAGGTAAGGATTGTTAGCAACTCTGGGAAATAATTGCTTTTGGCTTTGAATACAACTGTTCTATATGGGTATAATAGTAATATCTAAATTGTTCAAAACTCGAGAATTAATCTTTTATACTTGTTATTGTTAAGCTTTCTTGTGGTTAACTTCTTTTCATGGATCCAAGTTGATAAGACATTAAAATATGGCAGGTGTATTACTGGAACTTCGGCTTGTTTGTTCGTATAAGAGAAGGTTCCTTTAATCATATAATGTCTTAGTTTAAAACCTATAATTTTATGTCCTGTTTTTTTCCCACTTAATATATTCTTAATATCTTTCTAAGTCAGAAATCACAGTTCTAATGTATCTTGCATGTCATTTCATTGTATGGCTATACTTTAGTTTACTAATTCTACTTTTAATTTTTTAAATTCTAGACATTATCTTTTTTTAATGGCAGTGCTGAGCTTTGAACTTAGAGCCTTGCACTTTGCAGGCAAGTGCTCTTGCACATGCCCCCACCCCTTTTTGCTTTTGTTATTTTTCAGATAGGGTCTAGCTCTTTATTCCTGGGGCCAGCCTCGGACTGCAGTCCTACTGTTTATGTCTCCTGCATAGCTGGAGGTTTTTAATTCTTTTGATTGTTGAACTTCATCAAATGCTTTTCTGCATACATTGAGATTTTTGTTTAATGTGTTAATGTGATTACTTTAATAGATTTTTTAATGTTCAACTATTCTTGCATTCTTGAGATAAACCCTATTGGTTATGATATACCATATTCATTGATTTTGAGATGCATAGTTTTCATATTTTACATTTCTGTAGTTAGCATGTTTTACAAACAATAGCATCTTCTAATTGTTCTTGCTTATATTTGCTCACTTGTAATCCCTTAGTGTTTTAGTCAACAACCATTTAAAGATCATTCAAGGAAGGAATGTAAGTCTTGGTTGTTGTCTGAACCTTTTCTGTTGTCATCTTCTGGTAAGTTAAAGAAAACTTCATCAGAATTCAGAATGTGTGTCAGTGGCTTAGAAGAAAACACCAGAGATAATAGTAGAGACTCTCTTATAAAATGTTGCATTACTACCTCTTTGATTCCAGGAATGAATAGCAAAAAATCTGTGAACAGTGATTTAGAAGAGATGGATTTTGAATATGAAGTTTTAAGAGTATCTTACCTTGTTTATTTTGTCCATGTTTTCTTTGTTATGAATGCATTAAGAATGATATATGATAAAAATTCATGTAAATAAGTCTAAAAAGCTCTTTCAGTAAGTATAAAATAAAATGTGAGTGACAAGAAAGCATTATGTCATGGTTGAAATGACAGTATTTTTCTCTCAGTATGTAAAGTAATGGTGAATCTTATAATCAGTGATGTTTTAGATTTGATGAAATATAATATTAACTTTTTATACATTGCTGGATGTGGTTCTAATATTTATTTACAGTTTTAAGTGTGTTCATAAGCAATATTGGCCTATAATTTTACTTGTTCTTTTGTCCTTGTCTATTCTTGGTACCACTGATGTATTATACTTACCAAATGAGTTGTGGAGTTACTCCTTTTTTCCTTTGGAACAATTGGAGTCAGTAATATGGGGGAGTTATCTGTTTCTTTTTGTTTTTTTTTAGTGGTACTGGAGTTTGAACTCAGGGCCTCATACTTTATTCTACCACTTGAGCCATGGTTCCATTCTGGTTATCTGTTTCTTGAAAGCTTATTTGCATCTAGTTTTTCAAATGGGAGTGATAGAGTTTTAACTACTGATTGAATTGTTTTAGGTTAAGTCCCAGATTTTCTATCATTTTTAGTCTGTTTTGGTAACTTATTATTTTTAGAAATCCTTTATAAAATGATGCTATTACCTTAAAGTTTTATCTTGTTCTATATTACTCTAGCCATGCCAGTTCTATTTTGGTATGGGGACTGGGAAAGAAATACTGGTATTAAACCCAGGGCCTCATGCATGTTAAGCACGTGCTCTACCACTGAGCTACACCCCAACTGGGATTCTATTTTTCTAGCATTTTTTTTTCTCATCCTTTTACTTTCTTTGCTCTTAGGTTGTAAGTATGTCTCCAAAACAGTCAAAAGCTATCTGTATTTCATTATTTAAAAAAATTTAGTTTGACAGCATTTTGTGTGTGTGTGTGTGTGTGTGTGTGTGTGTGTGTGTGTGTGAGAGAGAGAGAGAGAGAGAGAGAGAGAGAGAGAGAGAGAGAGAGAGAATGGATTGAATCTGGGCCTTGCCCATGCTAGATGAACACTCTACCACTGAGCTATGTCTGCGGCTCTGGACCTTATCATTTAACTGGTGAGTTTAGTTATTTTTTTTATAATTACTGGCATATTGAATTTATTTCTGCTGTATCATTTTGGTGCTTTATGCTCACCCTTTATTTTGGATACTTTTTCTCCTTTTACTCACTCCTGTTGGATCAATCCAATTTTGTCAAGTGCCTCTCTTTTTCCCTCTGCTTTTTTTTGGCAGTACTGCAGTTTTGAACTCAGGGCCTTGCACTTGCTAGGAAGGCACTCTACCAGCCCGTTTTTTGTGTTGGGTATTTTCAAGATAGGGTCTTGCAAACTATTTCCCCAGCCTGGCCTCAAACCTCAATCTTCCTGATCTCTGCCTCCCGAGTATCTAGGATTACAGGCGTGAGCCACTGGCACCTGGCCTCTCTGCTGGTTCAAAAATAGTATGTACCATTTTTATTACTATAGGGTTAATTTAAAAATTTTAACTTACATACTTAACATAGTCACTAACTCTCTGATTCTCCTTAAAAGTTCCTGGAGCATTTTAAATACTGTCATTCTCCCCCCCACCCCCCTTTATTTTTATGTGGTGCTGAGGATTAAGATCTTGTACATGCTAGGCAAGCATTCTACCACTAAGGTACACCCTCAATCCTCCCTTGTTTTAAATGTGTGCTTCTTCAGTATTTTAGTTCCATCTTGTTTTAAAATCTGCTAAATTAAGTCATAATAATGACTATTGTGTGGAGTTTTTTTGGTTTTTTTTTTGCTTTGTTTTTTGGCAGCAGTGGGGTTTGAGCTCTTACCACTTGAGCCACTCTGCCATCTATCTATCTATCTATCTATCTATCTATCTATCTATATTTTTTTTGGTGATAGGTTTTTTTCAAGATAGGGCCTTGGGAACTTTTTGCCCAGGGATGGCTTCAACTGTGATCTTCCTGATTTCTGTCTCTTGAGTAACTAGGATAACAGGCGTGAACCACTGGTGGTAGCTATGACTACTGGTTTATTTTCTGTGTTTAGATTTCCCATGTTTATTTATTTCTTTGCTTACTTCTGTTCTTCTTGCAACAGTCATCTTCCTTCTGGGTTCACTTTTTCTTCCTGCTACATATGTATCCTTAGTCCTTCTAGTGCAAGTAATAATACTCTTTTAGTTTTGCTTTTTTCACAAGGTCCTGATTACCCATGACTATTGAAAGGTAATTTACCTGTGTGGAAAATTCTCAGTTACTCTGTTTTCTCTCAGCACTTTGAAAATGTTACCCCATTGTTTCCTGTGAGTATGTTTTGTTACTTTGACAAATCTTTCCAAATTCCCCTCCACAGGGGCTTATTACTAGTTTTAACTCCTCTTGGCAATTTATAGAGCATGGGACCTTGTTTTACCTTTTTTTTTTTTTTTTTAAAAGCTCAGGTTATATAATGCATCATCTACACCTGAGCATAGTGCAGACCTAAGGCTCTAATTTTTTATAGCAGCCCTAAGCAGATCAAGTTCTCTGCTTTCAGTTCTGTTGCATATACACCCAGAAGTAGAATGGGTAGATCATGTGGCAATTCTATGTTTAATATTTTGAGGAATTGCCATATATTTTACATACCTTCAGGCAATGTACAAGTGTTTTAAATTTCTTTACATTTTCACTGACAGTTTTTTTAAATAATAGCCATCTTAATAGGCATGAAATGGTTTCTCATTGTGAACCATCTATTTTCACCAATGTTTTTATGTTTGTAAATTGGGAGTAAGGTGGAAGGTGGTCCACATTAGCTAAGTGTGCTATGTGCTGGAATTGCCAGACCAATGTACTTTTAATGCAAATTGTCTAACTAATTTTTCCATCTTTTGGAGAATATCCAACTTGCAAGTACATAAAAAACTCATGACAGTTCCCTTAAAAATAAAAAGACTTCATTCTAATATTGTTTCATGAATCTCCTGGTTTCATTTAAACTATCATGAATCAAGAATCGTTATCCCCTTGTCTGCCATTCTCCTGTTTCTTACCTATCTTTTTTTTTACTGTCCTTTCTGTAACAATAACTATTTCTTTACAATCACTTTATTGGTGCCATTACTATTGCTTTATGTTTTGATCCTGTCTCATAGTCATGTATTACTATTCTCCCAGCCTCCCACAGCACCAGTGCCATCCCAGGGATTTGGCTCTGGAACATAATTCAGTTTAATATCTATAGGTATTAAGGCTTTGTAACAATCCATTCATTCTTCCTTTACAGCTGCCTATATAATTGTCAAAGAGATCTAGGGGAACAAGGATACAATCATTAAGGGCATCCCCAGTGACTCTATAAATACTCTTGCTTTCCTTATCCTGTTCTAGATTGAGGTCTCTAAGATTACCATTGAGGAAATCAAGTTCCCCATGAATTAGATTT